TATGAAGACAAAAAATATTTTTAAGTTGTATCAGCATCAATTGAGTGTTTCGTGTTTTAAAGAGAATCATTTAAAATATTTATGTTAAGTTCAATGAACTTACCTTCCTACTTTTTATAGGCTTAGGGATGTCTGAATGTATGCTAAGCTGTGTAATTATTGTATCTGTTATAATTATTTACTCATATTTTCAAAAAATTTACTTTTTTTAAATAAATAATTAATTTTTAAAAGAAATAAATAACTCATTCAGGCGTAGTTAGCTCATTGATGTTATGTCATTTTGATTGAATTTTTACATTATTTACACTGTGGTCAAAGTTTTAGTTATCTACAATTATTTACATTTTTTTTCAGTTACTATTCATAAATATTATTTGGTTTACTTTTGACGACGTACTTAAGCCTTTTGCGTCTATCCGATATTAAATCCGAACGACAAAACTCTTCATACACTCGTGTCTTTGCTTAAGGTGAAGCTTTAAATTTGTAATGGTACTTTAAAAAAAATTGTTTTGCAATAATTGCACACTGGTTTTTTTTTTCGTCCACACTTTGGACTATAAAATAGTTCCAAATGGCTGCGCTACGCTGGCGTGACATTATTATACACTTTTACATACAACACGCTAAATCCTATCTATATTACACTAAATATTTAAAATTAACAAAACTTGTAAGAACTGCCAGGGGACATTCAAAACAGCCTATGATGAATGCTATAAGAGACGAGAATGGCTATATTCTGAATGATGAAGTTTTGAGTTTAAAGAGATGGAAGGAATATTTTGAAAGCGTGTTTATGAGTGAGGAGACAACGTGTGTACTAAGTGAAGTAGAAATTCCGAAAGAAGAGGAAAGAGGTAGCGAGATTAGTGTAGGTGAAATAATGAAAGCAATGAAAAGCATGAAAGCAGGTAAGGCTGCCGGATATGATAGAGTTTCACTCGAAATGCTAAGGGCTGGAGAGGAAGTGGTGGCAGGCCTGCTGCACACCTTGTTTAATTTATGCTGGGAACTGAAGCGGGTACCGGTAGACTGGTGCAAAGCCGTGATAGTCCCAGTATATAAGGGAAAAGGGTCGCAGCAGGACTGTAAAAACTACCGTGGCATCAGCCTTCTTAGCATTGTGGGAAAACTGTATGCTAAGGTACTGATTGAAAGGGTCATGAAAGAAACTGATGGAAAAATTTGGGATGTGCAAGCAGGATTTAGAAAGGGAATGGGATGTACAGATCAAGTCTTTTCCATGCGCATGATCGCGGAGAAGTTTTTTGGCCAAAAACCAAAAGGTTTTTTGTGCGTTCATGGACTTGGAAAAGGCCTATGACAGAGTGAATAGGGATGTGCTATGGCAAACACTGAACTCATTTGGGTTGAGCGCTGGCTTGATACGGGCATTGGAGTCCCTTTATAGGGACTCTAGTGCTTGTGTTAGGATCAACGGGGTCTACTCGGACTGGTTTGACATCCATAAAGGTGTCAGACAGGGCTGTGTAGCTTCCCCGTGGCTGTTCAACCTATTTATGGACAGTTGTTTGCAAAATTTGAAAGTTGAAGAATGCGGATTAAGAATGGGTGAGTTAACCGTCAAATGCCTTTTGTACGCCGATGATCAAGTTATACTTGCGTCGTCGGCGGCCGAGTTGCAAATGATGGTTACATTAATGAACAGATCATTAAAAGAAAGGGGTATGAAAGTGAACGCAAGTAAGACGAAGGTTATGGTTTTTGAAAGAGAAGAAAGTAAAACGATTTGTGAAATAAGAATAGAAGGGGAGTTGATCGAGCAAGTAGACGAGTTTGTATATTTGGGCTGCGTATTTAGCAGGGATGGGAGATATGATAAGGATATAGAACGACGAGTGAATGCGGGAAATAGAGTAAATGGGGCCCTGCACTCTATTGTGAAGAGTCAAAATGTGTCGAAAAAGGCACGTATGGCAATTCACAATGCTGTGTTGGTCCCTACTTTAACATATGGTAGTGAAAGTTGGGTGTGGCAGAAGAAGCACGAGAGTAGAATGAACGCAGTAGAAATGCGGTCGTTAAGGAGTATGTTAGGGCTGAATCTTAATGACAGGGTAAGAAATTGTGTAATAAGAGAAGAGTGTGGTTTGCAAGATGATGTTGTGACCAGGATTAAGAAAGGAATGCTTCGGTGGTTTGGTCATGTGGAAAGAATGAATGAGGAAAGAGTGACAAAGAAAATTTATGTTGCAGAAGTGAATGGCAGAGTCGGAAAGGGACGTCCTAGGCGAAAATTTATCGACCAAATTGGCGATTTATTGAAAACGGGCCAAATTAGGAGTACCCTTAACCGACGAGCATGTATGCGGAGGTGTATGGATGTGAAGGAGGCGAGAGAGGTGTGTCAGGATCGTGCCAAATGGAAGTCTGTAGTCTCTGCCTACCCCTCTGGGTGACAGGCGTGAGTGTTTGTGTGTTGTGTGTATTTAAAATTACTTTAAAAATAAAACTTAACGAAAAATAAACAAAAACAACAATAGCTTTTTCACGTAATATGGGGACCTGCTATCAAAACATTACGTATATAATTTAACAGATAACAGTGTCATTGTCATCTCAGCTAGACAGCTAACGGAACACTAAACTGATATATTATATATTACAACAGCCAAATTAAATAACAGGCACAACAGGCAACTAATGAAGGAAATAATATATTTTTGTTTACCGTTATAATTTAGTGTTAGTAAAATAAGCTCTTATTAAGTTAGCTTAGAGTTTAAATTAGTGTAAGCTATACGCAATCCTTGTGGCACAATGAATGTAGGTAGTATTTTATTGACTCCTATTGTCTCGGCCGACGGTTGGACCGTAAACGTAAACAGATGACGCTTTCTAACGATAATGAATATAATATTATAACAGTCAATGATTCATTATTCTAATGTGTTGTAAGATTAGAAATATATAATGAAATATATTATCTGTTGTATGTTATAACGTCCAACTTTACTTCGAGGACGAGCTAAAGAATTAAGACTAGAACATATTGAAAAGGCAGAGCAGCTATGGGTAGCGCAGAGTCAGCAGGAGATTTTTGCTAATGATATCGCTCGGCTCTACCAACGAAGGGACTTATACAACGGCAGCGCACTGAAAAGGCTCGACCCGGTCGTCGAACAAGGAATACTAAGAGCAAGAGGTAGAATCGATGCGGCCGCTGTGGAAGATCAAACAAAACGACCGGTCATATTGAACGGCAGACACCGGTTCGTACAGATGCTCGTGGAGAAGGCACACCAGGACGCTAGCCACGCCTACAGTACAAGAAAGTACCACATTATTCGACTGCGACCAACGGTTAGGGAAATCCAGAAGAGGTGTATGCGATGTCGCGTTAGAAAAGCTGCACCTCGACCGGCGGTAACAGGAGACTTGCCTCCCGAGAGCTTAAGAGCGTTCGAACGACTATTCATGTATACTGGATTAGATTATTTCGGGCCGTTAACCGTGACTATAGGGCGACGGCATGAGAAGAGATGGGTTGCGTTATTCACCTGTCTTACGACGCGCGCGGTACACGTAGAATTGGTATATGGCTTAACCATGGACTCGGCGATAATGGCACTTAGGCGAATGGCGGCTAGGCGCGGGTGGCCTAGGGTAATCTACTCAGACAACGTCACCAATTTCCACGGAGCAGACACCGAATTACGACGGGCCATGGAGGAGTGGGCACCGCAGCTGAAGGACTTCGCGCTTACTCATCGAACGGAAGGGAAGTTCATCGCACCGGGTGCACCCAACCAGGGAGGCGCATGGGAACGATTGGTGCATTCCATCAAAGCAGCGCTCGAGACTACTCTTCATCAAAAGAGCCCCAAGGAGGAATTAGGATTACATTAATAACACTATTGCATAGGCTGAGAACACTGTAAACTCCAAACCTCTCACTTACGTGCCAGTTGGGATCAATGACGAGGAAGCCCTGACTCCCAACCACTTTCTTCTATGCCAGTCACCGCGACGTGTTCATCAGCGGATCGACGGACCTGGAGGGCTGCACAAGGACTGGCTGACGAGTATTGGCGACGCTGGGTGCGTGAGTGCCTACCGACCCAGGTGCTCAGAGGAGAATCTAGAAACGCCCAGCAGCCCCAGATTAAAGAAGACGACCTTGTTATCGTAGCAGACGGCAAACTCCCGAGGAACGTGTGGCCAAGAGGAGTCATCACAAGGACCTTTCCCGGACCAGATGGAGTGGTTCGGAACGTCGAAGTCAGGACGAGAGGCAGTTTACTGAGGAGGCCGGTCAGGAAGATCACCGTCCTCCCGAGAGAAGAGGGTTCGAAGACTATGCCGGGGGAGGATGTTGCAGACGGCGAGTAGATTCGTCCGTCGCCCCGCACCGCACCTGCGTCGACACGTCCCCCGCGCCCCGCATTAGAACAAGGGCCCCGCGAGGACAGACACTCTCACCAACTCGGTGCTTACGGCGCAACGTCCGATACAATATAAGAAGCGCCTCTGGCGTCGCTTCGGCATTCAAGCGACAGCAAGCGGCCCAATCGGAAGAACAAGCAAGCTGCAAGCAAGAAGCTCTCAAGATCCCTAATAGTTTAGTGTTAACTGCCGCATAAATTGTAAATAGTTTGTAAATATAGTGAATTATTTCTTAACTGCTTTAATTTCAACTCAACCTTATATAGTCAGACAGTTGTCACAGAATTAGGCTTAGTAATAGTTAGTTAAATTCATTTCATTTGCAACAATAGTAACCCCTAGCGTATACATAGAAAAACAATTAAATACAGTCCACTTTGCTCTCATCCCCTACATGTGCAGTCTCAGAGACACTGAGGAATCAGAGGCAAAGTGATCAGATAAACAGTTAATTGAGCAGCCGAAACTACATAGCTACGAAAAAGTTTATTAGTTTTTTGACTCTATAGTGGACTTGATTTACACTTTGGGTTATGATATTGCTGAATTCATAAAATTTTCAAACTTGAAACGTCATTTTTACTTACAAAAAATTCCTACTAGCTTTGTTTCCTGCATTTGTAAAGTACGTCAGGTAATCGTTGATATAATCTTTTAACCATTTATCCAAATTAGTTTTCAACAGGTCCAGTAATCTACCTGTTCAAAAAATATTTAAGTAGTAAAAATAATGTGTAGAAATGGCACAATACTATAATAACTTTCAATATTTACCTATATTTTCTCTTGGGAAAGGAGAAGTTTTATTTGCTTTTTGCTTATTTATATACTATAAAAATAAAATATTATTAATATAATATACAATACATCATAACTCATTCCATGCTTTTAGAAACTCACCATCGTCAAAATGTCGCTTATGGCTACATCAGACACAATGATTTCAATCCACAGTTTGTTTCGTGATAGGCGATACCGTCCTTCCACAGTGTACTGAACATTTCTTAGTAGAAGTCTAAATATTTTAAAGTTCTTTATAACGCATACAAATAGTTTCTGTTACAAAAACAACTTCTAACTACTATTAACATAGATACAGTAAAATAAATAAATGATTATGATATTCCATTAAATTTCGAAAAACTGTGTAGATCTCTCTACACAGTTTTTCGAAATTTATTTATTTATTTGTTCATTTTTGGATAGATTACTTTAAGGCAATGGAAAGCAAAAAGGTTACAATTACGTGAAAAGATAACAAAATTCTCACAAAGTGAAATAGTCGCCGTTCTACAACAGGAGGGGCCCATGTCCGGCAGTTGGCTCTTACGAGCTGATGATGAAGAACACGATGATAAATGATCCTTTTATTTTCACCTTCTTAATTTTTTTGTTTTCGGAATAATGAATAGTAAACTGTTAGGAGAAATAGATTAGTCAACTGATCGCAAACTTTTTTGTTTGCTACTTTCAACCTAGTTTCAACACAATATTTGGTTATGTAAGAAATTAATTTTCTTTTATTATCACTTAAAATACGCCATCAATTAAAAGTGGCCTTCTAGATCGAGATTCATCATTGAAATTAAATCCTCTTTTTTGAATATCTTAAACCATCTTTGATATGTACATTCAGATAACACTGTCCAGTCCAAAACACAATACAAATTCCTACGAGCTGCAATGGCTTTATTTATATATATGTGATGAAGGCAGACCAATTTCAAAACTTTTGATATTTCGCACATTTTGTTAAGCTTTCGGTGAATAGTAATGTAAAGTTAAAGCAAAACATCTTTCTGGGGAATACTTAGCCCTAGGTAGATGTCACGTTTTATTTTTAAGCAGCTGTCTGCTTAAAGTTCACTTTGTTAAACTATTATATAGTGTAAAACTTTTTTGTTTTCCTAATTAATTAAATATTTTCCAGATAGTTCATGTAATACATCTTGAAAATCAACAACTTTTTTTTTAAATAGCGGTTTTGTGATTGAAGCCTTATAATAAAAACAAAAACTTGGTTAACACCATCTAAGACGATAAACTGATTTTCTTTTCACAAATCTGATTTTTGAAATAACACATAATATAAACACTCACGCCTGTCACCCAGAGGGGTAGGCAGAGACTACGGACTTCCATTTGGCACGATCCTGACATACCTCTTTCGCCTCCTTTACATCCATATATCTACGCATACATGCTCGTCGGTTAAGGGTACTTCTAACGTGGCCCATTTTCAAAATATCGCCAATTTGGTCGATAAACTTTTTCCTAGGGCGTCCCTTCCCGACTCGGCCATTCACATCTGCCATATAAATTTGCTTTGTTACTCTTTCCTCATTCATTCTTTCTACGTGACCAAACCACCGAAGCATTCCTTTCTTAATCCTGGTCACAACATCATCTTGCATACCACATTTATCTCTTATCACGCAATTTCTCACCCTGTCATTCAGATTACACCCTAGCATATTCCTTAAAGACCGCATTTCTACAGCATTTATTTTACTTTCGTGCTTCTTCTGCCACACCCAGCTTTCACTACCATACATTAAAGTAGGGACTAACACAGCATTATGAATTACCATACGTGCCTGTTTTGACAAATTCTGGTTCTTCATAATAGAGTGTAGTGCCCCATTCACTCTATTCCCTGCATTTACTCGTCGTTCTATATCCCTATCATATCTACCATCCCTGCTAAATACACATCCCAAATACACAAACTCATCCACTTGCTCAATCAACTCTCCTTCTATTCTTATTTCACATCCCGTTTTGCTTTCTTCTCTTTCAAAAACCATCACTTTCGTCTTACTTGCGTTCACTTTCATTCCCCTTTCTTTTAATTCCCAGTTCATTAATGTAACCATCATTTGCAACTCTGCCGCCGATGACGCAAGTATGACTTGATCATCGGCATACAAAAGGCATTTGACGGTTAACTTTCCCATTCTTAACCCACATTCTTCATCTTTCAAAGTTTGCAAACACCGGTCCATAAATAGGTTGAACAGCCAAGGGGAAGCCACACAGCCCTGTCTGACACCTTTTTGGATGCCAAACCAGTCCGAGTAGACCCCATTGATCCTGACACAAGCACTAGAGTCCCTATAAAGAGACCTTAATGCCTGTATCAAACCAGCGCTCAACCCATATGAGTTCAGTGTTTGCCATAACACATTCCTGTCCACTCTGTCATAAGCCTTTTCCAAGTCCATGAACGCACAAAAAAACTTTCTGGTTTTTGGCCAAAAACTTCTCCGCAATCATGCGCATGGAAAAGATATTTTTGAAATAAGTTAACTAAACCTATTTCGATTTGTTAAATGTTTTACATTTTATCCTGCATAATGTAAAATAAACCTGTAGCAAAATAATAAACTTATATTCAATAATTTCTAGGTTTTCTCCGAAGAAAATTTCTAAATATTAAAAAAAAGAATTTCAAAAACACCTTGGTATTATTTATCTATGTATTACTTATAATCAAATAAAAACTTATGCGGACTATGGTGATTTGTTTTCGATAAAAAATATCGACATAGTCCACGCCTTACGTTGCTTACGCATTTAGACTGCGCCATCAGTGTATCGACACGTGTACAATTTAATGGTATGCGTAAACGCGATGAACACAAACACAAATGCTGTAGTCTGCGTTTATTGGCACGTGATTTGATTTTGCATTTGTAGTTAAGTATACAGTTGTGTGGTTTTCTTGCGCCCCCCTGATGTTGACAGAATTTTTGTTTAGGAATTAACGCGCATGGCCTCTCCAGTTGGTTGAATACTCAAAGCTTCTAGAGCATGGAGTTTTTATCGTGGTTTATTTAACCTCATTATATTTGTATCAAGGATGCAACATAAATGCATCGATCGAGCACCGGTTGACCAGAAAGGAAGTTCATTCTAATTTTACTTACGGTACTCATGTACAATACAGAAATTATCGATATCGTAGGGATAATATTAAAAGTAAAAGGACCCAATAATAACACAAGTTGACCTTTAGGTAAAATTATGGTATTTTCGCTTAGTATTATTACGATATTATATACTACAAACTCCGACCGAAACTACTACGAAATCCGACCCTGGTTACGTCTTGTTATGATATGACGTTTGTATTATGACAGATGCGCTACTTTTTCTTGTATGAAAAAGTTATGAGTAAAATATTTAGATGGGCCTGTCCTTCCTTTTGAAATCATTGCTAATAGAGTTTTAAAAAGTTGATTGATGTACACGACATTCATTTTAGGCATAAAATAAATTAATTAAAATAATAACGATTTCTATTAACATTCGCAGTTAACTCCATGATATGTATATATATAAATTTTATCGGATACTTTGTCTACTAAAACGATTGTAACAAATTTAATTATGTGAAACCATTTGTCGAATTTAAAGTCTACAAAAAAAAGTTAATTAAAACTATTTATACGGATTTATCGCATTTTATATAAGTTATTTTTGACTTATTTTTTAATTCTCGACATTTCCAGTACTTTACATTACCCATGGTCTCGGGGGGGTGGGGGGGGGGGGGGACTGAGAAAATACAATCTGATTTATTAAAGTTTTTTGTTTTGTTGCATATTTCCACGTAAATAGTAAAAGGTTATCATTATGTTTCTTTAGAATTAAATTCACCCCCGCTCACTGACTCGGAACTCGAGGCTCGGATGCCGTGTGCCAAATATGAGTTCAGCGTATTTTCGATGCCAGGATACAAGGATTTCAACCGTCTATGAGCAGTGTGTATTGCGGTCAAGTGAGCTTGAAATTTTTAGAAAATTTTGATATATTCTCATAACATCCTTTACATAAAACAAATAATATGCGTAAAAGAAACAATATTGCAACAGTGTCCAAGATTAACGATACCGTTACTATTAAAAGTACACTGCCGAACATAGGCCTCATTCATAGATTATATATTAGACATTTATATTAGAAATTGAACGTAGCCGGGTTAACTACGTCATTGGGACGTCAAACATCTGAGCCAATGCTCATGGGTTCTGTAAAGTACTCGAAAGTCGAAATGTGGGCAATTAAAAAAAAAGTTTTATTCAATATGTAGTGTTCACGTAAATTTAAGAAATCGTTATATAAAGAAAGTTAATAAAATAGTCCGTCACACTCAATAACTGTTAATTCAGCTATATACGCAGATGGTGAACATTTAACAAAATTTATTTTCCCTTTCAATTTAACTTTTCTTTTATCACGTACTTACTCTACTTCTCCGAAGGTAGGGGCGTAGAAGAAATCGGACGAGTTATTATTGGTGATGACTCGTTCATAAGCGCCAACTATGTGGAGGTCGTTGAGAGATAGTTTAGCTGTGAGCACCATATTGGCTAAATCGTTGTGCAAGAAGTTGATGCGGAAATGCGTATTGTTCCTAAGTTTCATGCGGTGAAAAGAGCTAAAAAAATGTAACAAAATTATATAATTAGCAAATTAGCTACCTTTTCGGTTTTCTTTTGGAGATTACGGAGAGTGTACATAGAAATTAATTGAATTCCTTCCTCTCCTTCCCTTCCCTTTCTTCCATTGGACAACCAGATGGTCGATCCTTTTGTTGTCAATACTCTACGCATTCGAACCATGCTGTTTTCTGCACCTTTAGTAATGTGTACAGCAGTTGAGAAATGATTTGCTGGCGTGTTCTTTTCTATCCAACGACAATCTATAGCAGTGGTCTCCAATTAGTTTCGCTCGGGGTCCGTTTTAAGAAATGAAATGACCATCGTGGTCCGCACATTTCATTTATAAGAAAAAAATATTTATTAAACAAATGTAATTAAGGAAATAACAAAGGTATTTTATTACATAGGCATCAATGCGAAAAATGACATTTTTTGTTGCGAATTATCTGTCTGTGTGTAATTATGTGTGTAGTTTGGAGTAAAATTGGTGCAAGCTATTGACATTAAAACCTGGAGATGACCAGTAGTAAGTCGAAAATGCTGCTTCACAAATATATGTCGATCCAAACAAAGTAAGAAGTTTCAAAGCTATTTTTGTAATTCTGGATATTTACTGGTTGGGCTGAAAAGTTCGTATCGTCTCTATGAGATGGCGCCACTAGAATAAAATCCATATCATTTTTAGGTAGTACCAACCTTCAAAAGAAACGTGTTTAAATTTGACAGCTGTCTGATTATTAGTTTGTGAGATACAGCATTTTGAGTGAAGCAACTTTTGTTATTTTGAAAAAAATGGATAAAAAGGAATTTCGTGTTTTAATGAAACACTATTTTTGGATGAAAAAAAGTGCTGCTGATACCAAAAAAGTGGCTTGATGAGTGTTATCCGGACTCTGCGCCGGGCGAAGCAACCATTCGTAAGTGGTTTGCCAAATTCCGTACAGGCCATATGAGCACCGAAGACGATGAACGCAGTGGACGTCCAAAAGAGGCTGTTACGGACGAAAACATAAAAAAAATCCACAAAATGATTTTGGAAGATCGTAAATTGAGGTTGATTTGTATAGCTGGCACTCTAAAAATATCAAAGGAACGTGTAAGACACATTGTTCATGAATATTTGGGTATGCGAAAGCTATGTGCAAAGTGGGTGCCGCGCGAGCTCACAATCGACCAAAAACAAGAACCTGTCGATGCTTCAGAGCAATGTTTGGAGCTGTTCAACCGCAATAGAAGTGAATTTTTGCATCGATATGTGACAATCGATGAAACATGGATCCACCACTACACTCCGGAGTCCAGTCAGCAGTCATCTGAATGGACTGCACGCGATGAACCGAATCCAAAGCGTGGAAAAACTCAACAGTCGGCCAGTACGGTTATGGCGTCCGTATTTTGGGATGCACATGGAATAATTTTCATCGACTGTCTTGGAAAGGGAAAAACCATCAACAGCGACTATTATATAGCGTTATTGGAGCGTTTGAAGGACGAAATCGCGAAAAAACGGCCCCATTTGAAGAAGAAGAAAGTGTTGTTTCATCAAGACAATGCGCCGTGTCACAAATCGATGAAAACGATGGCAAAATTGCATGAATTGGGCTTCGAATTGCTTCCGCATCCACCGTATTCTCCAGATTTGGCCCCCAGCGACTTTTTCCTGTTCTCAGATCTCAAGAGAATGCTCGCTGGAAAGAACTTTTAAAGCCGATGAGGAAGTAATCGCCGAAACAGAGGCCTATTTTGAGGCTAAACACAAATCGTACTACAAAAATGGTATTGAAAAGTTGGAAGAACGCTATAATCGGTGTATCGCCCTCGATGGCAACTATGTTGAATAATAAAATCGAATTTTGCCAAAAAAATGTGTTTTTCTATAAAACGATACGAACTTTTCAGCCCAACCAAATTTTATCCAGAACTCTTCACTGGAAACTACTGTTTGTTTGTGTTTTAAAACTGTGTTTTCTTGGCAATCGATCATTTCCATCTGCAGAGTAGCTTTATCACTTCCGAAAACAATTGCAGCATCATTGCTCCATTTACCATCAGGATGCAGAGAGTAAATGCTACTGAGGATTTCTACAACATTCTCAATTATCCGTAATGAACGTCTTGAATTGGCGAACTCTTTCTCGCTCGCTCGGTACTTCGCCCGGCCGTTTTCGAATTGACGTCAACAAAGATAATGCGGGGGATACATTTTTATTAAATTACGTACAGCTCGCGTCAATCTTTTTGGGGCCACGGAAGTTATTTATATCGGAAGTAGTTTTTAGTGTAAGTTACTGAGTTCTCGCGGGTCCGCACCAAGTGGGTCGGCGGTCCGGATGCGGACCGCGGTCCGCCATTTGGCGACCCCTGATCTATAGTATTTGCGTTATATTGTATGATGTACAGTTTAAGGTGTCTAGAGATTGAACAATGTCAAATCGATTTAAAAAAAGACGATTAACGATTAAAAAAGCAAATCAAAACTTATCGATTTCTATCTCTATCTAATATTAAATAAAAGTCATCTTCTATTTCATATAAATTGCAAAATTTAGGTGTTGGCAGGCATTATATTTGTTTTAATGTCAATACATTAAAACAAATAAAATGCCTGCCAACACCTGTGATTTTCAGTACGACATTGACTGCACCTGCAGCTTTTCAAGGTACAAGTGCTTGCGCCTTTCGCTATATAGATGTATTAGTGTTGCCAGGTCCAGTGGAACAAGTATCGGGACGGAAGGTTAAAAGTTAAGGATAATATGGTTTACAAATCCAATCAAGAAAATTAAAAAAAAAAAAAAAACAGGATTTCGTTTGCTACAATGCGCATTGTGCTTTATAATTATTTTTTGTGAATTAGCTAATGAACGAATAATTTATCGTTCAAACATCGGAAAAACAGCATATTCGCTTAAGTACGTTTTCCTTTATTGGCAAATCATCTTGATATACGATTAATTATTATCGTTGCAAACTTTGAACTTTCTGAATATGTTATCTTAATGTTATTCTGAAAAAAGTAATAAATCTTAAGATCACATTACACATGCACTTCAAAAAAGCCCTCAAAATGCTCAGATTAAATTAATGCATCGCACGCACACTATATTACTTTATTTATTTAAAACGACAGTACCTACAACCACTTGAAAAAATTTCAAAGAACTAACCAACAAGATTTTAAAATTTTACTAAATGTACGTATCTAAACAACGTAAGATAGGTACTGTACTAATTACTAGTATAATAATGAAAGAATAAATGATGGTCCAATTGACTACGTCAATGCACGTGAAGCTACTACATACGACGTATAGTGAAACATAGCTGTTTTCAGAGCTGACTTTTCTATGTTATTATCATGGAGCATGATATTGTTCTTTAAGAAGCTGTTTTACGAAGCTGTTAACATTCGCAGCAGGAATGCAGATATATCCAACGCGAGCGCTCAAAAGAAATGGAGCGTCCCACTTTTTTTTTTGTTGCACAGGAGTAAATAAGGGAAAACCTCCGGTAACGGGGGTGGGAGGTGGTGAATGCTCATGGCATACTACGCAGCCGGCTGCGTGGTTATGTGGAGACTTTTACCCACTAAACACCACCTTTTGGGATGGGCTAAACGATCTGACGAGAGATCTTTAAGCCGTAAACGGACGTGACCCTCCTTGGGAGAAAGGAGGGCGCAAAGGGCGTCTCCCATGAAGTCACGGTGTTTTATACCTCCGCCTTACGCGTGGAATGTGAGGCCACTCGCGCTCTGTTAACAGGAATCAAACGACACGAAAATTCCCTTCACGACACACCAAACGTGCAATGGCGGGTTGGTGTGGCTTACTACCAATATGAAATTTAACCCTAAATACGCAATAAAATGGAGTTTTTTTAAAGATGCAGTTAATTGTTTTTATTTAAAAAAGTATATTTTCTTATAAGGTGAATAGAAGTTAGCGTAACTGATAGAATAAAACATATTTTTTTAAGTATTTTTATTGTACTAATAAATCAAACAACATAAAATAGGTAATAAAATATAATCCCTTAAACCAACCATTAAGGTATGGCCCGAACGACATGACAGCACATCCCTTTTTTAACGAGAAGGTTATGCCGGACTTCTACTGGCTAAAACCCTACGGTGGTCACCATCAGTGTATACGAGGGGTCCCGGGATCTCCGTTCGGAACGCAACCGGAGCCCTTCCATTGCCTTGCTACACTAATAGCACGTCCGGGGCAATACTTGATGCCCCCAGCACCCTCTCAGTGCTACCACGATGTCTCGAGACCACTTCCGAGTCATCGTTTTCCTCGGGGGTTACATAGCGAGGCGTTCGAGACCCCGCCCCGAGTGTCTGCAACCCCGGAAGCCCCGTTTCTGGTAGGTAACACCGTTTTCAAGAGGAGGGCCGTGACCGACGCCTTGGCGACGTCGTCTCCGAGCGGGATCCACCCTCTCGCGATTTCGCTTAGTAGCCTCCTTCTGAGTCATAACGGATTCACAGAAGGTGACTACGGCCCTACGGACGCCGAGTCTCTCGAACAATTTGCCAATCCCGTCCAACAGACATATGAGGCGGTATGCAGAAGGAGAATCAGCGGCCCTGCCCTCCTTCTTCAGAAGGACCAGTCTTGCCTCTTTCCAGGCCATGAGGAACGTGGCACACTGCAGACAGCTTCTAAACAGCTGCCTGAGCCTGTCCCTTAGGGTAACCAGATCAGGTAATTAGAGTAAATAATTTTACTGCCTTGAGAACCTCTTCCTTCACAGTGGCTAAGCTTCCATAGAAGACGAGAAGCCGGGCTTGCTCTATCAAACTGCTCAATCAATTATATCAACTAATAAAATAACTCGTGAAGTGTTTCAAATTATTTCAAATTTCCCGCGCGCTCCTTTGTTCTACATAGGTCATGATCCTGTAGCCTTAGCGATGCTGCTGTCATAAAAAGGAGTTGAATTGAGCAATAAGTTGTCCTTCTCGCACGCGTGGAATTTTTACCGG